TGATGCTTTGTTTTTGTTATTTGCACTAAAATTACTGTTCATTCAACTTTTTTGCAGGATAACTAGAAGCATTAAATTCTGCCTGCCACACGTTTTTGCCCTAGATACTCTGACATAGCTATTGCACTACTACTTGTAAAGTTGTTGCATGAGTGACTATATAGCAAAGCACACACATGCCTTTAGGATGCCTCATATCAAAGATGTTACAATTAGCCAGTGAAGGGTGGAAAATACAAAGAGAAAATTCAAGCTAAATGCTTAGGAGCATATAACTAAAATTCTGGGACCTCTTAGCCACAATTACTCACTCCCTTAGAGTTATCATCTCAAAGTTATTCAGAATTGGAAACTAGTTTTAAATGCCTCTCAAAGGAAACAATTTCACCCCCTCCTGAAGGCAGAATGATACATATTTCCCCCAAGTCCCCATTCCCAGAAGAAACTAGTCACATTTGCTTCAGCTAACCATGACAAAGGTATACAGAAATGCTAACTACAGAGGAATAACACTTTCCAGCATCCAGATGCACTATGTAGGCATACTTCTATTCCTTAAGATCATAAGAAAAATATAAGCATACTAACGAGCTCTCAAAGGAAGGGATGGGAAGGGGAAACAAAGGAGGAGGCTACAATGCTTGATAAGAAATGTACTCATCTTGCCCATGTAATTGTAACCCCTCTGTACAGTATTTTCACAATAAAAAAAAACAAATTTAATATTTTCAAAAAAGATTTAAGCAACCCGACAAAAAAAACTGTCTTCATTCTCCCTTTTCAACCTTATTTCTTCTTCTTTGACTCTTTTCCCTCATCCATGCGCACATTGTGCATGTGCTCATGCACGCACACGTGTGCGCACACACATACACACACACAGATCCTATAAACTAAATAAAGGATGCCAAGAATGCAAATCTCACCCTCCAGTTTAAAACATTTTAAATACCTGGCATCACTAATTCTACAAAAGTCTTCTCAGCAAAATGAACCCCAAGATAGGGACAAAAGAGGTTTTCTCTTTGCTGCTGATGTTTTTCATGTACTTATAATGTACTATGTATTTTTTTGTTTCTCTTTTATGTTCTTCCCACATGGTATAACCCGTTTTAACTATATTTGATTCTGGTGCCCTGCATCTTGTATATACATTTTTCTAATTTGAGGAGGGGAAGGGAAATAACAAAATGCTGAAATAAGGATACAGGTTAACCCATTGTAACAATGAGATGTACAAGACACTATGTTGAAAACGAACTTTACAACTTTGTGGGGGAGGGGGGGAGGGAGGAGATAGGGAGGGAGGGAGGGAAGGGATGATAGGGGAAAAACAAAGGAGGGGGTAATAATGCTTGATAGGATATATATTCATTACCTTACGCATGTAACTGTAGCCCCTCTGTACAGTATCTTTACAATAATATATATATATGTATATATATATAAACAAAGGAATCTTCCACTTTTGCCTCCTCAAATTTATGTGCAAAACCACCAAACCCACATAGCTGACTTCCCAAACAACACCAGAGGACAGGTAAATAACAATATACAATTCTATGCAAGATTATCTCTGCAATATGAGAAACTTTCACTCTTTTTTACTTACTTACCTATGTTCAAAGTCATGTTACATTGTTTCTAGAGCTGACAATATTCAGATGTGATTATATACCATAATATTATGACCCTAGGAATCTCCTTGCAACTCACCTTCAAAATAATAGATTAGTGCAAATAATGTGATTAATGTGTTTGTACATGGACACAGTGACATGAGTCACTCTATGGACTGGGGCCATAGCTCAGTATTATAGCACTTGCCTAGAATGCCTAGCATACAAAAGGCCCTGGGTTCATCCCCACCACTAGAAAAAGTCATTCTCAACCAAACCCTGACAAGTCAACACTTAATTCACATAGAAATAATAGCAGCATTGTCTTAGAGGAAGAGAGTCCCAAAGAACCTCCAAACTAACACAATTAGAAACTAACCTTGTACTTCTTGCACAGTGAATCATATGGATGATCTCAACTCCACAACTATACTGACAACTCCCTCAGTTGCTGTGTAGCTGAGCACAGTGGATGTTCTGATATGCCTACCGATCTGATCTAATGTCATGATAATACATTTCACAGTTATGATGGAGTGGACGAAGCACAAGATGAGAACGGCAGTTCTGACTATTGATCTACAATGCCATTTCAAGTAAGCCTTATTCCTGTCTGCACAGCTCTAATGAAGGATGGATATTTATCACAAAAAGTGTCCAGGTAGAGGATCTGAATGCTAGTGACTTTGGGTAGTGACTTTGGGTCCCTATCTGAAGAATTATAATGTGCTCAGGAATGAGATATTACCCTGAATTGAAATTTTCTGTTTACATGTTCAATTCCCTTAAGCTCCCTGGATCAAAAATCAAGTATTTTATTTTTGTATTCCAAGAAAATGGTAAGAACTGTGACTGCCACATTCTATATATGTAATAAATGCTAGTGGGTTGAATTACAGAACAAATGAAATAAAGGACAATGGAAGTGACATATACAATGCAATAGAGATATTACTATAGAATTTATACTTATCACATCATAGTAGTCATTGTCCAAAGCTATAATTGCTTAATAAATATTTCTTAGATGGATTAATTAATGTGAAAAATATAAGGAGACAGTAGGAAATATACCATAATATTATTATCCTAGGAATCTCAATGCATCTCACCTACAAAATAATAGGAGATTAGAAATGATTTTCCTTGCCTGTCTCCCCATTAGAATATGCATCCATTGCTAGAACATTTGACAAAAAGCAGGCACCCTACAAATACCAGGTGAGTGAATAAATGAATCAGGCATTCCTATTATCCTATTCTATCCAGCCTATGTTCAGGAACTTCTTTTAAGGGAGGAAAGGAGAAATGTCATTTTTCCTCTGCAAGACTATGTGAAAGATGCAAGCTAAATGGCCTATTCTGTGCTCAGTTATGAATTCTTTAGAACCGCATTGCAGAAATCACTTTTAACCTCATGGTACATGCTAGCTTGGACCCACCTAGCCTTGCACAACCAGATCTGTGTGATTTTTATTAAACAAGGGGCTTTGGAGTCAAGTACAGCATCAAAACTGAGATATTACCTTTGTTTCATCTTTGTTTCAAGATACTGAAATCTTGGGTAAAACATGTAATCACAGTCCTGTGTCTCTTGCCTCTGCCATATATTTTATCAAGGCTCACATTTCCATGGAGCCTTGAATTGATTGCAAAGTGATCGTCATGTCCTCAGGATTCAATGCTTTATTCCATCTTCCCAAGCAATAGTAGTATCAGCAACTGAACCCACAACCTTGGTATCTTTTACCTCAAATGTTTAATGGTCAGTATAAGTCATCTGTGCATATAACTTTGTAGACCATATCTATATATAACCAGTGTAAATATCTCTTTGGTTAAAACCATCTGGGAAGACAATCTCAGGTAAAGAGGCCACTGCCAATCATGATTCTCCAGTTGTGGCTAGTAAAAATATTTAACATTTTTGAGGCATCTGCAAAGGATTTTGTGTTGCAGTGCATAAAGTCATATTTATCTATGGAAAACTCTTTCATGGTAGATGCACCTATTTTGTAGATGAGGAAATACTCTGAGAGGTTTCATAGCAAGAGATGACTGGATAAAAACGCTGGTGCTTTCATTGCTAGTAGCAGCATACAATCAGTTGTTCATTAAAAGGACTGCTTTTTCTATCAATAATTCTGGTAGATATTATTTTTTTCAGAAACTAGAAGCAACCAATATGAGTTGTCTTAGGACCCCTTTGTCCTAAAAAGTTTATATAAACACTATGAAGCCATTTTGTCGATGCCTAATACTCTGGGTATAGGAAGGAGTTGTTTCTGAGGCAGGAAGGTACCAACAAAACAGCACTTTTCAGGGACTGTAGAGTGTTGTGACTGATTCCTCACTCCCTTGATGACCAGCTCTAGAGTCTTAACATATCTGGGCCTTTGTTTCATCATCTACTAAATGGGAATATGCCAAGATACCTGATTTCAAGTTCCAAATGAAACAATGCTTGTGAAGGTACTCTCCAATTACACAGTATTCCCTTAATTAGTGGACTGGACGAGGGCATCACTTCCCAGTGCATCAAATTTCCAGCTAAAGAGGAACTTAAGGAATTTTCAGAAAAATGAAATCATTTTAGAAATTTATTTATAACCTTCTACTGAGTCACCCACTCACTATCATTCACGTTATCACTTTATTACTCTGAAATACTTCAATAGCCAACAAACACCTGACCATATTGTGTTTTTAGTGCATCCATTTAAAAACACTCACAGTAAAAGGAAACAGTTAACTCAAATGAATAGCAAATTCTTAAAATATTCGTATCAGTGACAGCTTCAATCTCCTCATCTGTCAAACATTATTACCAGAACTGCTATGAGATAGCAAAGCTGCTTTTTATTTTTTTTTTTTTTTGCTTGTCTCCCACTAACCAGACCATCCATATTCTTGGCAAGATGCTAGAGAACAGTAGTGTGAAGAAGAAAAGGCAAGAGGGAGATATAGGAAGCTAAATCACTCACAAGAGGGAAAACTGGCCTCCAAGCATTAGAGGGCTTCATTCATTTTCATCGTTATTTGGTGACTCATTCTAAGCTACTTCAACTAGCATATTGGTAACACTGGATGCCAAATATGGCATATTTTCAACAGGTGGAACAAAGTTCTTATGATAGGACACTACAGAGAGATTTCAAGGGCTCATATTCCTTAGTATTGAGCTCTTAATTCCCACCCCTACACAAAAGACCTCTATGTAGGGATACTTGTTGCCCTAAGAAGCACTGATAACAAACCCAGTGCACAGAAATGGGCTCAGGCAGAGAAGTTCTCCCTATACCTGCCAGGGGATGTGCCAAGAGAGTGGTGATGGTCTACCAAGCACCTTCTGAACCTCAAAGAGCATGTAGCTGCACTTACCTCAGGCAGGGGCACACCATTGATGATCAGATCTGGCTGCTGGGGACCCTGGCTATTGAAAGAGTGATGGTAGATGTGGTTGGCACTAGTATTTCGAGTATTCTGGTTCTCCACGTTCAGGAAAGTGCTCTCAGAGCGGCGGCAGCCTAGGGGCAGCGTTTGTTGGTGGTAGTCAAAATAGTTGAGAGAGGAGGTCAGGGAGGAGCAACTGACAACATTCATCTTGTCTGTCTCCTCCACATCCCTGGGTACCAGACGGATGTCATTCTTGCTGATTTTTTTCTTCTTGCTTGATTTCTTTTGATGCCCATAGGAGTACTCAGCAATTCTATGTGACAGAAAAGGGAGCATGAATCGATAACACCCTCCCAAACCATTCACTGATTAATAAACATTAAGCACCCAAGAGGTTGCACCCCATCTCAGCTCCAGCTCCTTATTCTGGTGCATTACATCATCGGGTTTCTCCCTGTGCTTTTTACATGTGAAAACAAGCTGAGGGCCATGAAGTTCTCAAATTAAACATAGTAACCTCCCACCACCACCCCCTGAAAAGAAAAAACTTCCTATACATTGGATCTGGATTTTTTCATTAGGAGTGGCCAGTTAGGTGGCGTAAGGGATGGGAAAAAGTTGAGCCTATGGGAGAGAAAGCACGAAAATGCTCAAATCTGGAACTTCCCTGGAACCCGAAGGAGCTCCTGGGTGAAATAAAAAGCAAGTCCCAATTTAACAGAAGAAGAAATCGAAGAAAATAAAAATGTAATCCCCTTGCCATTTCCTCCAGGCATTTGTCAAGTGGCAAAACAAAACACTCAAAAATAAAAATTAAAAAAAAAACCCACCCTCCATCAGCTTCCTCTTTAAAGTGACCTGATCAGTTTTTGGACTGGGATAGATTTGCTCCAGTCCTTTAAAGCCTCATCAGCTCCTTCCTTCCAAATCCTCCTCCCTACCCTAGCCCAGTTCTCTTCTACTCTCCACCCTTCCCCCTCCTCTCCTACAGAAACGTGATAACCAAACCCATTTGAATGAGGGGAAATGCCTTTTTACCTCTTTCCCCTAAGGCTCACTTTCTCCTCTGCCTTTTTGTCTTGCTGCTCGCTAATGGGAGAAACTGAGATGCAATGCAGACACTTGCTGTTTTGTCCTTTTATAAAACAGCCGAGGAGACAAGTGATGGTTAAACAATTACTGCAAAGGAATTTAAAGGTTAGTGCATTCCGCATCCTTCTCCATTCAGGTGTACCTACAAGCAGCTGTGCAGCAACTGGAACATAAAGAGCTCAATTTAATTAACACTGACACAGACTCAGCAATGTGCACGAAAGACACCAAGCATTAAGAGACTTGTCAAAAGAAATACATTAAAATGTAGCTAGATTCTCAATGCCATGTATTACTTTGCATAGCATATAATGACTTTGGTTTATTATTTGAAAATTCAATTTCTGGGCAATGATCAGCTAAACAATAGTATTAATAAATAATACAGGGTGGTCTTTACAAGGGAAAGATTGTTCCTATACTCTCGCATGGCAAAGCTAATTGAGTACAAAAAGCAAGCTCAACTCAAGCAGCAATTTCAGATCATCTCACAAGTCTCATAAATGAATGGATTTCAGAAAGAAGCTCTGTAGAAGCTGAGATCAAGAAACCTCTACCTAATCACATAGAAAGAAAAGCTCTTGAACTTTAGGTTTGTGAGCAGATGGGGAAAGTGTATATTTTCAGAGGCAAATTCTTGCTGTCCTCAGGATCTACCTAGAGCTCAGTAACTGAGGTCCCCTCATCCTTTCATTCTGTGCCCAGGCCCACTTGTAATGATGGCAAACTAATGCTACTGAGACTTGGGAGCAGATAAAGTCTCCAAAACCCAATGACTAGGGTTGATTTTATTTTCTAATCTGTTTAGGCAATCAATGGAAAGTTCTATTCATTTTTTTTTTACCAGCGATTGCTAAGTTTGGCAATGCCCCACTCAATTATTCAGTTGAGGCGTTCATTGCACAGCCCTTTCTGTACTGACCAATTATTTAAATAAACTGTACTTCATTAATCCCAAACAATCACAGGGAAGAGAGTGCTTTACAAAATATACATTTAGGTAAAGTTGCACTCTTTTCCTAATTCAAAAGCTTTCCTCCCTGTTTAATGATCTCCCTGCCAAGCTCTCAGAAAGAACTCTTATTTATAGTGATACATCACCAAGGGGTGGCAAAGCCTTCAATATCTTTATTTCAAGCTAGTTTCTTTTTCTTCAAGGAAGAGATCTTATGCATTTACTCTATGCTGCGAAAATAGCTTAAAAACTGTTCCTTCTATTATTATGTCTATATAAATAAAATTTTATTGACCCTGCATTTTTCTCCTATAAAAAGCACCACTGGCAGTCACAGGTTTCAAAGGTAAGAGCAATATTAATTTCCATTTCTCCTATTTGAAATGACTCGATGCTGAAGGAAAGAAAAGTCATGGCCATTTCACTAGTAACAGGATTAAAGCATTTATGAGGCATTGCAGCTGCTCTTTTATGGCACCTGATTGATATTCATGTGTGGTTAGCATTTGTCTACTAACTTGTGTAATGCAGAGAATAGTAAAAGGGAAACAATAATTGCATGGCTCTTACATATTCAGGGGGCTCTGATTCACAGAAGTGTGTATTTCAGATGGTGTCAAATACAAATCGGACCTACAGGAACGTATTTTGATTGATTAACATGCAAGCACAGATGGCACAAAAGACACACTGGATGTGTAGGTGTACAGAAAACGCGCACACACACACGCACACACACACACACACACACACACACACACACACACACACACACCTTGAATGGAAATAACAACATCATTCATTTTCAGCAAAGTAAAGAAACAACTTTTTTTCAACCATTTCGATGAGACACTGCTGGAAAAATTGTTAACTGTATTATCTGAAGTTGGATTCCAGAAATTCTTAGACTGATTTGTTCTACTAAATTGTAAGAAAAGATTTCAGCAAAAGCCTCTGATGCTCTAAGGAGGATTTAAAAAAAAACTACACAACATTTAAGTTTCCACATTCCTCTTCTCTTCTACCCTGTCTTCTCCTCTTTTCTAATTCCCTCCTATACGTACATCCTGCACATGCTTCAAGGGAAAATGTAACACAATAGCCCATAGTGACATCCACTGGTAGCAACCAGATCTTAATGCCACAGCACAGTCCCACATTAGAGGAAAGCCCTACCAAATCACAAAGATTGCTATTTTAACTGAAACATCTGGATGCAAAGTCTTGTCCCTCATTGGGATGTTTGATCTCCACACAACAACCAACCAAAGAGATATTTGAAAACATACAGATGCTTGACAAAATCTCACTTTATATAGCCAGATGTTTGGGGACTGGTTACAAAACAAGCCAAGAATAGGCTACAAAACACTAATCACATGCTTTCCAACACACTCCTGCTCTCTCTCCCCTACTCTTTCTCATCTTAGACTTTGATTATCAAGCTTTCTCTAGAGTCTATCCATACAGCAGGACAGGGTAGCTGTAATGTCAACACCAGTTACCAAAACATCATTGTGCCCCTGCAAATTAAATTATGGTGCTTAGTGGTTTTGTTGAAAATATGACTCTGACACTCTGTCTTTCACTTATTTTTCTCTTCTCTCCCTTTCTTCTTCCTCTTCTCCCTCCCTAATTTTTTCTACTGCAAGTTCAGTGGAGACACCTGTGTAAATTTTACAGTGCTAATTGCTTTTCTGCTCATCATCATTATGTGACAGAACCATTCAAACAGTAAATGATTGTCTTCCAGCAAATTGTCAGATCAAAAGAATTGATCAACTTAGACTGTCACAAAATTTTCACCTTTCACAGAGAAGCACTGTGAATATGCTGCATGCATTTAAGTAGAAAACAAAAGCACTGGTGGTTTCACACCAACATAAACACACACACCTGTCTCATCCAAGACAGGGAAGGAAAGAGAAAAGTTAGCTCTACCTGCAATTGTAGGTCCGTATCTCTTTGTTGTCTCGCTTGCACTTGATTGCAACAAAGATCATGGTGACAAAAAGGATGCCTGCGATGGAGCCCAGAGCAATAATGAAGATCAGGGACAGGTTTACCGAACCCATTGACTCTTGAGCATCAAGAGCTGGGGACAGGTAGATTAGGACGAGCGCAGAGGCAGAAAGAGATGTCTTGCCGTGGTCATGTGCCACCACAATAAGCTCATAGGAAGCCTTGGAGCTTTCGCTGAAGGTACGGGTGGTTCTGACTTCACCGTTGACCTGGTCTATTTCAAAGTAGCCGCGGTCGCCCTCGGTCATGTCGTAGGTGACTCGGCCATTTTCTCCCTCATCATAGTCATCTGCCTTAACTATGGTCACCAAGTAGCCTATGCCGGAGTTTCGGGGAATGTAGACCTCCGCAGTGCCGTTGATTAGGGGCGGGGCCGTGATAACCGGGGTATTGTCATTCACATCCAGGATGATGACCCGCACTGTGGCGTTGCTCTGTAACGAGGGCAGGCCACCATCCTTTGCCAGCACCTTAAATTCGAATGCCTTGGTCTGTTCATGGTTGAAAGACCGCAGCGCGTAGATATCTCCAGAGTTGGGGTTGATGGAGACATAAGTGAATACAGGCATGTCCCGTACCTGAGAAGGCACGATCTGATAGGAGACACTACCATTGAGCCCCAGGTCTGGGTCTCGGGCTGACACAGAGAGCAGATAAGCGCCGGGTGTGTTGTTCTCCTGCACAATGACCTGATAATAGGGTTTAGAGAAGTGGGGGTGGTTGTCGTTCTCATCAGTGATGCGCACAGTAAAGGATTTGGCACTTTGCAGCATGGGGACACCGCCGTCTCGGGCTTGGATTGTAAGATTGTACTGGTCGTGTTGCTCACGGTCCAGCCTTCCATCCACCAGGATAGTGGAGAAGCTCTCATACTCCTGTAGCCGAAAGGGCACATTGCCCAGCAAACGGCACTGCACACGTCCATTGAGACCGGAATCGCGATCAGATACTCGAACCAGGGCGATTACGTAGCCTGGGGGGGCGCTCTCGCTTACCTCCACAAGCTCGCTATTGACCGACAACAAGTTGATAACCGGTGGATTGTCATTGGTGTCCAGCACGCTGACGGTGACCTTGCAGTGTGCTGGGATAGAATTGGGTCCCAGGTCCTTGGCTTGAACGTCCAGTTCATACACGTGGCCCTCTTCGTAGTCTAGGGCACCGGTGACTGTTACCAAGCCGCTGTGTGGGTCGATTTGGAAGAGTTCTCTTGTGCGGTCGTTGACATAGCCATAGAAGGAATAGACAACTTGGCCGTTGGTGCCCTCGTCTGGGTCACTGGCATTGAGGCGAATGACGGGTGTGTTGGGAGGTGAGTTCTCAGGGACACTCACCGCGTAGGTGGACTCGCCAAACACCGGGTTATTATCATTGGAGTCTGTCACCTTGATGCTGAGGCCAACTGTGCCTAGATGTGGTGGGTCGCCGCCGTCCAGCGCAGTGATTCGAAAGCTATAGTGCGACTGTGTCTCACGATCCAGGCTCTTCTCCACCACGAGTTCAGCAAAGCGTGACCCGTCGCCGCGAGTCTTGATCTCCAGGCCGAACAGCTCATTGGGCGTGAGCTCGTAAGTCTGCACACCAAAGCTGCCCGAGTCTGGATCATAGGCGCTGTCCAACGGAATGCGAGTGCCCGGACTGGCGGCTTCCGAGATCTCTAGCTCTATCTGCGCAGCCGGGAAACTGGGTGCGTTATCGTTCAGGTCCTTGATCTCCACCTTAATCACACAGATCTCCATTGAGCTGGACATGACCTCCAGCGAGATGATGCACTTGGGGCTCTGGCGGCACAGTAGGTCACGGTCGATCTTTTGCTTCGTGACCAACAGGCCGGAGCTGGGGTTGATATCCACCAGGTGCGGAGCAGAGTTGGACACTACGCGAAAGGCAGAAGCCTGGCGGGGGTCTAGCGCGAAGCCCGCCTCTCGCGCGTCCTTGGCCACGTTAGCGATCACTGTCCCAGCGCGCTGCTCCTCTTCTACTGAGTACTTGAGGTTAATGAGGGCGGCCGCCTGGGTCCACAGTACTGCCAACAGCAGCAGCACCGGCAGCAGGAGTGATTCCATAGCTGCGCGGGGCTCTGCTTGGCCTCGCCGCTCCACACCCCTCCGAGGCCGACGCCGCCGGCGCTCCAGCTTCCCGCTGGCTCGGGCCGCCTGTTGCGTGCGCCCCGTGGCCCCGTAGGCCGCGGGAGGAGTCCCGCCAAGGGCGGCCCGGCGGCGCGGGGAAAATACCCGGGCCGGCTCCAATGCTGAGGTTGCAGTGGACTCGGCTGGGGCTTGCTGGGGGCCCGGGGACTCCGAGGGCCCGAGGGAGCACCGCGCGGCCCCGAGCCCCCTCCCTCCAGCCCGGCTACTCAGTTTTCCCCCTTCAAAGATAGCTGGGCGCGATTGACTGCAGCTGCGCAGGGCTGCAGGTCGGATGGCGTCTGCACCTCCCAGAGGAACAGCGGCTGAGTCCAAAGAGCTTATGGGGCAAAGCTGCGGAAGGCAGTGGGGACGCAACCTTTCAGACACAGACCGACCCGCCGCAGCGCACAAGCACTGAGGCTGGCGAGTGCCGTGTCGGTGCACCTGGCATGCGCAAAGACCTCCCCCCAGCGCTCCCAGCTCACTGCAGAGAGAGGACCCGCCTGGCACGCTCCCTCCCGGGTCGGGGGGGGGGGGGTGCACAGTGGGTTCTTCGAGGCCTATTGGGGAAAGAAGGGGTTTGCAGGCGGAAGCTTGAGTTGCTAGCAAGTGCCCAGAACGTCAGGGGATCTGGCAGAGCCGGATGGCGGCAGTCCGAGGGGGTGACACAGGAAGGGGGAGGGGAGACAGGCTGCCAAATCAAGAGCGCAATCCCTTGCGGTGGCGGTGAGGTAGGCGGCAGAGGGCTTGGGAGGGGGACGTCTGTACAGAATTTGAGGTGGGCGCGGAATCCCCTCCCCCAGAACGATTGAGGGATAGCTGGCGTTTGCGTCTCGGAAACCAAAGTTACCAACCACAAACCCGGGCTTCCACGTCAAGTTTGTGGAAATGGGGCAGATGTCAATTTGTCCAGGAAAATCAAAGTCTCAGTCTTTCCAAGGACCCGTGGAGGGGTGAAGGAATGGGGAGGGAAGGGAGGGAACCGACAACAGTACCGGCCAGGAGAGGCGGCTGCCGCTGCGGGAACCGGGGACTTCTTCTCCCGGGGTCTGGGCTGAAGTGTCGCTCCCAGAGCCGCTGCTGCTGCCGTCGCCGCCGCCGCCGCCGCTGCCGCGGGCAAAGCCCCCCCTAGCTCAGTCACATATCTCTGGGGTCCGCTTCAGTAGCTGCCACAGTCAACGGTTATTTCGCCGCCAAAGTTACTTGCAGGAGCGTCTTGATTTCATTCTTCTGGAGAGGCGCTGGCCGCCCAACCTCGGGTTTCCTCTCCAGGGCGATCGTGCGCGGAACGTCTGTCTGGCTCTCAGTATCCAGCTGTGTGTGAATGTTTGCGAGAGAGGAAGAGTGAGTGTGTGGTATATGCTAATTAAGAGTGTGGAGTACGAGAGAGCAAGAAGAGATAGGGTGGGAGGTTTCGGATCTCAGTTGAATCCGCTCAGCTGGAATGCCTCGAAGGACAACGCATCAAAGGCCGGCGCCAGGCTAAGGACGCGGATGCTAACACCCTCTGGTGCAAGCTAAGCATGGTGTGCGGGAGCTGGGCTGCCGTCTGCGCCCGCTCGTCCGCCTTCCCTCTGCACCAGCCGCCGACGCTACTGCTGCTGCTGCTTCCTCCCGTTGCCGCAAACTACTGGTGGTGGAGTCTGGAGAGAGCAGGGAGAGCTCGGGCTGCCGAGCCCAGCTACGCCAGGCGCTGGCCAATCAGCGCGCTGCCCAGCGGGCTCCGGTCTAGAGGCGGGATCACGGGGAGGGGGAGGGCGGGGAGGGGCGGAGCCAGGCGGAAACTTACTCACGTTCGTGATAGAGTAGTACCCCCGCCCGCCAAACCCTTTGGGGAGTCGGGGGAGACAAGGCTGGTGGAACAGGAATGGGAAAGATGGAAGGGTGGAAGGGGTACGCCGACACTGTGGTTCATCCTTCCTGGGAACTGCTCTCCTCTCGCCTCTGGTTTGTCGAGATTGCAGAAAAAAAAAATGAGGAGGATTAGATTCTCTTGCCATGTTTATCTCCCTCACATATCTTCATATCTCGAATGTAATATTCTCTTTCTCTCTCTCTCTCTCCCTCTCTGTCTCATAGCTCTGGATTTCTCTATTTCTCTGTTTTCTTCGGGTAGTGGAAAGCAGAAAGCCAAGAATAAAATGCTCCCGGAGTGGTCATTAAAGGGGCTTTTGACGGAGAGTATTCACTTTAGCCAAAAGCTACGGCCGCCATCCACCCAGACATAACTTTCCCATCCCTGTCTCTGGGCAGAAGCAGCACTTCCCCACCCCGCCCCCACCCCCACAGAGCCTCTGGTGGGTTGCTTCGTTCTTGCTGATTGCTTGGGTATGTGGCATAAGGACTGAGGCTCGAGGGGGTCTGAACACATTTTGTTGCCCTTCACCCAACCCTGTTGGAGAATTGGGCTCTTCATCAATAAATTGTGCTTTTAAGAAAAGCTAGTGGAGAAGATGCCACTGAGCTGCACCTCCCAGTTCAGAGCCAGAAAAGCCCAGATCCAGGCAGAAGCCGTGGGTTGGGAGCTCCAACCCCACCGCGCGTAGGTCCCAGGTAGCTGGAAGCCTGAGCTGGTGGTGTGCTGGGTGCCCCAACCTTCCCTAGGAGCCTGGGTCCGCAAGTATTGTCAGCTCTGCTCCCACGGCAGTTGCGGTTGTGAAGCGTGCTAATCTGGGAAGAGGGAGACAGGCACGGCCGAGACCGAAGGCTCCCAGAAAACACCAGGACACTCCCACTCCCTTTGCCCCAATCTAAGACTCTTAAGGTCGAGGGCACAGACACCTCCGCTTAATACATTTTCTTCTCTCTCTTTTTATATAATAGATTGGGGGTGGGGAAGCAGATTCTGAATTAACAATTCTTGAAGGAACGTGTAAAGCTCTCTTCTGAGTTAAGTCGTCTCTGCTATTTTGAAAGTCTTGGGTGAGCAAACTCATTATTATCACAGTGACATTGGCCAGAGCCTGAGAGCTTAAAATGAGACTCGCTTTTGCCCTTTAAAAGACATTAAATACGAAAAGGAGAAAGAAATTTGGACACATCGTGGATTTTCTCAAAACTATAATCGTCTTGCAAAAAGCAACCTAGTTGCTTAAAAAAATCTTCTGAAAGGATCTAGTTTAGCAGCCTTTACCTGGGCAGTGGGAGGGGAGAAAGACAGCTTCCTCCAACGAAAAGGAATTATTTCGAGAGTGGGGTTGCAACCCCTCTAAACATGCAGCAGAGGCCAAGGGAAGAGCTCTGGAAGCCTGATTTGCTTTCCGCGTGGGGGTCATTTCACTCTCTCATGTTTGAATGCAATTCAGCCCAGAACATCAGGGTGAAAATTCGGGCGTTTGCATTGAGAATTGTTTCATTTTGATCATTTAGAGCTGCAGGTGGACTACTGAGACGGTGGCTCCAGAGAGTCTCATCGCCCGCCCAGTTTTCTGCAGACAGCATTGAAGAAATGGGCAAGTAAGTGGAGGAGAATGACAACATGGCAGGCGGGCGCACCTCACAGGCTCCGCTAAAGGAAAGGTTCCATTTGATTTATCACAGTTATTTACCTTTAATGTTTGCGAATGGGAATGAAATGCATCTTGGTCTAATTAAAAAGGCCTAAAAAGGCATTTGAAATAGTTTTGCAATCTGATCATGGGATGTGAGTTCGGCATTTGGCAGCTTTCTAAAATATTGCTTGGACTATTTAAGCAGAACAATTAGCAGCATGCTAAAATGTTTGTGTTCTATGCTTAGAAGCTTTTAGCTGTAAACTTTAAGGCGATCTGTTCCCCTTTAAGTTAAAAAAGGATGATGCTGCTTCCTTGTGGCGAAGGCTGTCAGGAACCCGCTGATCAATAAAACTAAACTGGCGCCTCCACGGCTTGATTGAGCGGGAGCAAAGAGTCTGAGTCGTCTCGGCCATTAACAATCCCCCAGGTAACAAGAAATGGAAGAATTACTCAGGTAAAATGATTAACATTGCCGTGGCATCTGAAAAGATGCACACAACAAGGTAAGAAGACGGCAGACCTTTTACCTTAGGGAGTGCTAATAGAATGTCTATATTCTGCTGTCTTTTACAGATAAATAGGAGAATTCAATTCATGTAGAATGTCATTACCATTGTAATTGCAATCACATTGTAAAGGCATGTTCTGCATTTGCAGAGACAAACATTCTTCATTAAGGCGATTGCATCGTTTTCCCACTTTCCTGCTCGCTGCTCACACTCCAAGCACCCCTCTTTTCCAAGGAGAGAACCCAAGTACTTCCAGCCACCAAACAGCTTTTACAGAAGCCCCAATACTGAGGAAGGCAGAAAGCATACATCTCTCCTTTCCTTTTCTCCCTTTACCTCTCACATCTCCAAGCTCAAAATGACAGTACACCCCCCCAAAGATGGTTCTTCTACCCCCCAGTTAGATAATCCTAACATCCTTCCTCTCATAATCTATTTCTAATAAGCATACTTATTAAACTCCAACAATACCACTAAAGTGGCAAAAAACACCTTCGTGATCACAAATTTATTAGCTAACCGAATAAAAGCATCCTGCATGTAGTTAATAAAAACAAAAAGAAAGTTCTCTTCATTTTAGCTTCCATTTATTTCAATCCTGAAGGGAGCCCCGCCTCTTCAGCCTCTTTAGAGACACAAGAGGGACATCTAGTGACCAAACTTAGTATTTTTTTAACCTTTTGAGAAACACTGGACTCTAGGTACCAACTATGGTGTTATACCGCCCTTTGTGGCTTTCTAGGCCAAGGCACTTCTTAGACTACAGTGGCCAGGATCAAAGTTGACAAAGATTATTTTTTGTCTTTAGAATTTTCTCTATATCACTTCAATAATGCTGAAAGGCAATAGGAAAAAACAAAATTAGGAAGTCCTTATATTTAAATCAAGGCAATATATCAGTAATTCTTGCTGGCCCAAGAATGGTAAGCATGTT